TCTGGAAAAAAAAGGCCTCATTTCACCTGAGTTTGTCACTGCAATGACACTGAGCCTCTGTGAGCCAGTCTGAGGCCCGGCTTCTCCTCGCACCCATTTCCTCCTTGGAGTGTCCTCCCTTCGTTCTGCCCGAGCACGCCATGGGCTCTCCAGACTCCTTATCAGGCCAAGACGTGCCAAGGGATGCTATCAACTGTCACCAATGTGCTAGGACTTTCACACCCTCTAACTCTTTTGTGTAGCTCTCATCAGAGCGCTGGGAGGTGGATAGTTCCTCCCCATTTCACAGGTGCAGAATCAAACTCTGAGGATCTAGAGTGGCACAAGGGCGCAGAGCAGGTAGTGTTTGGAATTAGGATCTGAATCCAGAAGTATTAGATGCTGAATGAAGCATGATTCCAAACCTACACTCCTTCCACTGAATGCCCTCAGGATGACCCGGAGCAGCCCACTGAGGCTACATGCACCCTTTCCTGCTGCTGACCACAGGGACAGAACACTACGAGGCAGGGCAATGACCAGGAAAGGGCCACCCTGGGGACAGGAAGAGGTTGCAGTGATACCAAGCTACACAGTAAACTTCCAGAAAAATATGAACTCAAATCCAGAGCCTCCCCTCAACCCACAGAAAAGTCCAGCCACGTGCCTCACACCAGGTGTTCCAGGCAGGTCTTACCTTACATTGCAGCACACTGTGAAGCAGCTCCTCCCCACAAAACTCTGTTTCGTCTTCAATCATCATCTTCCTCTATAGGGAGAAGACGACAATCATCAGACCACGTGCAACGACATTTCAGGGGGTGCATGGAGAAGCAAGGGTTCCAAGCGAGTAGCGCAAGAAGGGACTTGAGTCCCAGCCAAAGACCATCAATCCTTGAAGGATGGGAAAGAGAAAACCCCGGTCCCCCTGGCTGTCCTCCAGATGGCCGCGAGATGAAGCAGCCCCCTGGGAGCTCTGCGTGCAGCACCAGATGGAGACAAGCTCACAAATGCTGAGGCTGGGACAAGCAAACAGGCAGGAGACAGTCAAGCTGTCTGCCCTTGGACCGTGGAGGCAGGAAGGTGGGGACTGCCCCAAATGACAGAGCTTGTCCTTCACATGGGAGTTATCTCCCTCCGTGTTAAAGGCGAATTCAAGAAACCAGGCACAGACCTGGAAGCACCCCCCACCCCCTCACACAATAAGAACTGTCGAGTCCAACCCCATGTCTGAGTGAGGCTTAACCGACAGTGCCCAAACTTTGTGGGCTCAGGTTTCACATTCTCAACACTCGCAGAGGACCCCAGAGTGTTGTTCGTGTGGGTGGTGGGTGTCAATATCGCTGCTTAAAAATCAAAATGGAGAAAATTTTTAAGTCTCAATCTGGTTTAAAAGCATATGTTAGGTTAACATAAATCTTTTTTTTTTAAATTAGTGAGAAGAGCAGCAACATTTTTCCTGGTTCCCCT